AACGACGGTTACCACTAACTAACTACTACTACTAATCAAGTGTGCCGTCAGTTTTTTTTATCCCAATAAAGAAAACAAAGGATAATTTCAACTTTTCATTATATAAGTAAATACAGAAATCATTATAAATCAAATTTAAGTAATCAAATAATATCAAAGCTTGTCGACTTAACAGGGACCAAAATAATCTACAAGGTTCATTAGAACCGTTTAGCAGCAAACGTTACAAAGTTGCAAAAAATATATAACTTATTTCGTCCCAAATTGGATCTTGCTGAAATGAAGACAGTCCTCAAATACATCGCCTCTGAAGAGACGCGAATGAATAACATTTTACACGTGTATACGTCAAAGTTGGTTGAGTAACTTGATAATTGGCTTCATGTAATTTTAACTTCAGAGTTTCAGAGAATCAAATCGGTTTTTACTAGTATTCGTATGGAAAATTAAGTTCAATTAAAACTACATACATTAAATTAATACGTCATTCTCAGCATATGAATATACTGATAACTTGAAACTAAGCTTGTAATGTACTACATAGTAAAATAAGTATTATATATCATCATCATCATTATTTTAGCCCGGAAGATGTCCACTGCTGAACAAAGGCCTCCCCCAAAAATCTCCATGATGATCGGTCCTGCGCTGCGCGCATCCAACGCTTCAATTGCGCGCGCGCGCTCGCGTCCAAAAACTTCCTGCGATCTTGACCAGATCGTCGGTCCACCTTGCTGGAGGCCTTATATGTGCGTACACGTTACACGTATATTGTACGTTTATTATATATGTGCGTACCTCCTTTACAAATGTAGCCAAGATTATTTAACAATCATCTAAAGACCATTCATAATATTATTAGAATTAGGATCTGTAAGACTTCAGATTATATCGGCGTTCATGGAAACACAATTAGATAGGTTTTATGAGTATATTGAAAAGCCATAGATTAGACGATATTGTATGGGTTATAAGTACATACCTCGAAATTACAAACTTAATTATCTAATTATAGTACGAGCTCTCCCAGTATGTATTGCGTAAGATTGTACAGAGGTCTGTAATAATCTTCGTGGTACATAAGCCTAGAAATTACTGTGATTATTCTTCAAAGGGAATACAGCAATGTTCAGTAAATCGGTAATACAATGCGCCATTATTAAATTATTATTATTAACAAAAGATAAAGATACAGCAAGAGACATAATAACGTCGTTATTACATGAATAATTTTCTTTTTTTTAATATTTAATAATTTAAAAGATATTAGTCAAGACAATAACTTTAGAAAATAATAGATAAGTACTTGGAATAGTAATTACCTTTTGCATTCTATGATTTGTTCAAATAACTTTAATTCTTAATTAGGAAGATTGATTACAGTATTCATTAATATTAAAACTAAGTGAAGAAGCTGGCTAAAGAAAAAATGAAGTTCTTGAACTTTTTAATTAACAACTTCTATTCAACTATGGTAATGAAAAATCATTAGCATTATCGACTACGTGGTTTTTCTCTTCGTCGTTATTGATTTTGCTATTTTATATGTACCTTAGTTTGTATGTAGTTCCAATTGTATCAACTACTGAACTTATTTGTTGAAAATCATTTACAATGTGATTAGTTGATTTTTTTTTATAAATAGATTCATATTATACATAAAGAGGCCTAAAAAAATAAAAACAATCGTACTCATGAATACAAATGTTTGTACTGTACGAGGAATCGAACGTGAGCTAAACCATTAAAACACCGAGGCCGTCTCACACTAATACACGTCATAACTCTTTAATAATTCACGTAAAATATCATACTTGTTTATTAATCAATGGAACACTACGGAAGGTTATCAGAACTTAGGAAATGTCACACTACGAGGAAGTTCACCAGCTTCTTTATTACATAGGTCTTCAGGTAGGTGGTTTAAGTCATAAGATTTCGAGAGAGGTAATAATAAAGAAGTGAGATTGAAATATAACGTACAAGTTTGTGTAATATAAGTATAAATCTGTAATAGTTGTACTATATATTTGTAATTTTTTTCTTGGTAGTTTTTGCTTACATTTTTAATTTCCATTATAGATAACCATATTAGCGGTATTAACTTTTAGTTCATAAATTACGGGTTAGTAACTGATAATTTCTGATCAAAGACTAATTCCACGATTGACTGTACCTACTACAATTACGCGATAGTTTTCGTAATTTGAACAAACTACTATACGTCTAACTTCTCATAATTTGCGCTAGAAGCTGCATAAAGTGAGAAAATAGCGCAAATTCTCGGCGAGACCACGTCTAAAATGAACGTCTTATAAATTAATTGATCAAATACATCACTACATTTATGTTATTAGGAATGTCTAATCGGTCTTTAGATTGTTAAGTTCATGGGTGTATTATAACCCTTTACCAAATTTCACATAGCATAGCATTTTTAATATTTAATAATAAATAACATATATATAATGAATTAATAACATTCTATTAATTTTATAAAATAACATATTTGGAAGTTAATTGAATTTTGGTTACATTTTAAGCATATATGTATTGCTTATTGGGTTATTATACTTTGATTTCATTTCGTTTGTTACTCAAACCACGTTTAGATATAAAGGTGAAATGTCAGATGTGCCCTTTGAACTTTATCCCACGGCTCTGGTGTAGCAGCGTCGTGACGTGTACTTACAATTTAGATACAAGTGCCTTGCAGACAATAACTGACTATTATAGTACAGTTCCACACAAACAACTTTAACAAAACCATACGCTATGAAATTTGCACGGTAGATGCATTTGTACGCAAAGTTTCCACGTCCGACTCAATGGTTTTTTATGTCATTAAAACTGCAAATAAGCTGTATAACAATAAGTGTGTCAAACGGTTGTCTTTATACATGAGCAGCATCACGATTATCTTGTCAAACATTGGTATTTCGGAGTACTATGAAGGTACGATTTCGTACTCTGTAATTTACCTTATGCTCTTCGACTGAAACGCATCTTACAAAGTAAGCTGCTTGTCGATTAAAATAGGCGAGACAGCGGTATCTATATACACGGCTTGTACATAGTCTACCTTGATATTAAAATTATACGTGACTTTTTTGCTGGTACGTGTACCTGTAAAGATTATTATACTATTACAATAGTAAATTACATAATATCAGCCACAATCGAATAGTTAGGTGCATAATAACACATTGAGCCACTTTCACCCGAATCATTAGACAATCTATCAGATTGTTTGCATATCAATCATTTATCATTTTATACATCAATAATATTGTAAGCATAGCAAATCTTATAGAATGAACAATTCAAATGACTTTGTAAACTTTAAGTAGGTACGTACTTAAACTTTTAGTTAATCTCTGAACCCCAAATGTTTTAAGACTCCGTGTTCGGAAACGAAAAGAAGTTTTACTTTAAGACCGGAGTTGTCTATGAGTTCTTAGAAAATTTGAGACATTGTACGGCAGCCACGCTGAAAGTTTGTAGAACTGCCCACTTAATCAAAACTAAGAAAATATGGAACTGTTAAGTTGAAGAATATAAAAATGTTTCATTTGATAGATAAATAAATTTAATCATGAGAATGCTGATCAAAAATGTTTTTATATAACTAATGGAAACTGGTACTATTATTAATATATAGACATCACGTGATCGTGTGACATCCATGATATTTCTCATCAATAGCGACTGTGGATGACTTAGGACGTTACTTTACCCTGCAAATTTTCTGCCATATATTAAACCAAATGAGAGAGAGAATGAAATCTTTCTCTTATTGATCTACTCTTAATAAACGTTAAATAAGAACTAAGAAAATATGAGAAATTTCTTCATATTTTTTAATGTAGGTAACATATCTATATAACATTCGTAAAATGCTTCAAAAAACAATTATGTCATATTATCAAGAAACATAGTAGACGTTTATAAAGCAAACAAATTTGTTACTGCATATGTGACCTGGTACAAAAAATGTTTTGGATTTGTTTGTTGTACATACGGAAATATTATCTTAAAATATTTGCTTGAAGATTAATCTGAATACTTTAATGTTGGTTGTTTGAATCGATTACGTGTCTAGAATGGTTCATAGTGTGGAGGTAATAATTCATCTCATACGAACTTTCCTATCTAACTACATTTCTCAAAGCTATCAAACTTCTGCCCGTAGACAATCCAATCGTGCAGTGAGTTTAACGCGACTTTTGCATAGTACCTACAAACTTTGTCTACAGATTGTTCGTGCGATGTCAAACTGATTCAGACAATTGAACCAATTAATCGGTTTTCGTGTACCGATTTGATTTGCATGCGGCTGATTATATCGAATGATATCCTTGTAGTTTCAACTGTTATGCTATGCAAAGCGTAAGTAAACAAAGTTAGACTAGGGAATTTCGCAGAAGTACAGAAACCATTGAAGTTTAGGTAATTATTTGATTTAAGTAAACACCGTTGCCTGCAGAATATAATTTTCTACTCGAATTTTCTACTCCTGAGTTTTAATTACCAGTACTATTTATTTTCTTAAAAATATAGTAGTTTACAAACGAATATAGTCTGTCAGTCTTAGTCAAAACAGATTTTCCATAGCAACTGAAAAAGAAATCAAATACATATATTATATATCGGCACTATTATTATCCCAGATGGGTTAGTTAGAGGAATTGCTGATGAACAATTGACTAGCCTATTATGTTGCTAATTTAGCAATGATAAATATAATAATCAAAATCTGATGTAGTAGGAGTTGAGTCACCGTGCCTTCATTATCGGCGTTTATTTGTTACCAGTGTTTCCATTACCTTCGAAATTTAAGTTGATAAAACGATTTTTGTCTCAGAGAGATTCGAACTCACGACTTATCGTACACGACGTAAGTCCTAGTAGTTACCACTAACGACGCTGTCAGATATATTACTTGTATTATGTTTCGTATCAAAGTGCTTACTGAGTTCACACATAATTTCAATGGAGGTATGGAAGCAGTGGGTATCGTAAGTTAGATAATGCTTTGTGGTTTTCCATGTGGCTGTTTTCGAGTTATTCCGAGCTTATCGAGCGTAAACAGTGAGCCGTCGGTTGCATTTAGAAGAGATTCCATGGGTAAAGCCCTTAGATCATTGCCCGACAAGAGGTAGGGCAATGATGGGAAAATGAAAATATAGAAATATTGGGCGTAAAATATGAATACGAGAGTAATTAACGGTAATAGTGAAAGAATAATTTTGTAAAATAGAATAAATAGAATATTGTACTCCGTCAATTAATTTACATTCTGAAATATATAACTTTATCTAAATACTAGTGACCACCCCAACTTCACCCGGGTGCAAAACTTTAAATTGTTTGAGTATCATAAAATTATTCGTGTAGAGACCTGTTAAATCTGGAAAATTTTAACCTTCTAATATTACATTTTACTGTGTGACCAATTTATATAATCGAACACAAGGAACTAATATTTTCTATATTATTAATAACAATATTAATAATATGCGTGTAATGTAAATATTTTGTTTATATATATTATAAAACAAAGTCCCCGGCTGCATCTGTCAGTATTTTCGTGATAATCTAAGAAAGAACAGAATAGATTTTCATGCGGTTTTTAACTAACATTCAGAGTGAAGAAGTTTAAGTGTAAATTCGTTGAAAAGCTAGTGCAGAGCGAGAACGGATCAGTAGTATAAATATAATATTGAAAACAAAATCATGATATTACCGACAGCTATCATAATAAAAATAACAATAAAAAACATCTTTTAAATTGTTGTGCGGTGGTAACAGGTGGTGAAACGACCGGTCTTTCCAGGTTTCAAGAATCGAAGTTCAAGTAAACTTCTAAAATGTTAATTTCTGTTCAAAGTCATGGTATCTATTTTATATGCTAGAGCGCAGATAAAGTCAGTATGGTAAGATATATTAGAAAGAATATTAATATTAATTAATAAGCTACCTGTATGTACACCACGACAGGGCGATCATTTCAAGGTAGACTTCGTATAAAGTCGTTTCTTTAGGTTATGTTAAAGTTATCTTATCTCACCTATTTCTATCAAATAACTTGCTTTATAAACTGTGTTTAAGGTGAGATATAGCAGTCAAATTATAAGGTCTTTCATTTTGTGATATACTGTTACCCAGCATACGGCTCAACTGTTTCCTATATTAAGGTATAGGAAACAGTTGAGCCGTATGCTGGGTTTCCACAATCATGGTTTCCATGACGCGAGCCTTCTGTAAAAAAATATTTATTGTATATTTAAATTAATAACATGTACTACAATTGCGTACTCAGCTTAATTTCCACATTAATAACTAAAGACAAATGTTTCGATCGATTCATTTACATTTTCTTATATTTAAATAATAAGAGAACAAACTACTTATAGTACTTCAACTTACCAACGTATTGAACGTATTCATTAATAAATATAATATGACGGAAATCCGTTGTTGTTTGCTGACATATCTGACAAAATACTGACACCTAATTAAAAGTATTTTATCTAACAAAATAGATATTATCAGTATGACGGCTGATTTCCGAGATGTTGAGTCATTAAAATGTGCTTTAAATTAATGATCTTACAATCTCTCCACATATGTTAACCGCTGTTAGGCATATCTTGTTAGTCATACCATTTATTTAAATATCGACTATTTTTATACTTAGTGTGTTATATTTAGACATAGCTTTTTATATGTTAATAGAATGGCAAACAACAAGAAGTCCACCTGATGGTATGTGTTAACCGTCATCTATTTTATCATGAACATCAACATAAGTTGCCATTCCAGAAGATTAAGGTCTGCCTCGTAATCCCGTGATTGCAGATATTTAACACAATTGGAATGCCCTTCGAAAACTCACCCTATCCGAATCCATCTTACAAAGCAAGCTGCTATTCTTTTGAAATAAGAGCAGAAGATTTTAGACAAACTTTATGGAAGTAGTATTAGATTTTAAACGAGATCTTTTAGACTTTCAGCTTGTTTCATATTACAAATTTTATAAAAAAAAATCGTCGCTACTACGCAATGAACTCAACTGTTTACACAATTTACATGGTACAATAATCTAATGTTATTATATTACTATCTTAGATACAGGTTTGAAATGTTGACATAATGTTGTCTGATTAATTGACAATGTATTTCAAGGGTAGTTCAAATATTTATTCGCTCCTTAGTAATGTACAAATAATATCTCATTACATTAATGTTACAATTTACTTAGTGTATGTATCTTAATTGTTTCGTTTAATTATAATACTGTGGTTATTAATACTGTGGTACTCGAAACTTTACCTAATTGAATATTATTAATATTATATGAAAATATATGCTTTTCTTGCAATATCGTATCAGTTTTGAAATATTTTTCTGCTAAATATGCTACAAGAAAAAAAAGAGTAGATTCTACAGTATGTGAGTGGTAAAAAGTTTGAAAACTACAGAGAGCCGTCACTCATCCAAATTGTCGGGATGGAATTTTAATTCGTGGCGAGTTGTACTGCAATAGAATTCAGATAGAATTCATACATTCACTCCCCATAATACATACGATAAGTTATACATAGAGACATAACGTTACGTGGTAAGAGTTAGAGAAGTTTTGGGCTTTCTTATTAGAATAATAACATTCACAACTGAAAACCCAAACGGGGTAGTAAAAGTTACTGCGGCTATCAATGTCGTATATAATTAATTATAATTAATGTATATTTTAAACACTATTTTAAAATGATTTCCCGATTATTTACGTTAGATTTGTTTTTATATAACTACTAACATCAAGAGCTCATAAAAAAGTCATAGTTTAAGTCCGGTTGTAAAATGACTACCAGAGTATATTGAAATACAAATATGCCACAAAGCGAGACTACAACACACAACAACGTCTTTCCTTTACCAGGTTATTAGATATATTAATTGACTCTTAAAGTTGTTTTTATTATTAGTATTTTAATCTCCTAATTTTAATGTCTATACCACTGCTCTTGGTAAATCAATTGGCGAAGCTATGATATTAATAATAAATACAAAATTTATGGAAATATGTAATGCATTCTGCATCTATACTTTAGTTGGAGCTGTCCCTTATGCAACATTGTCAACGCCACACGAAGTTGGGCAAACAAGAAACAATTAAACTTAACAAGTTCTACCCCTTGTAGAAGCTATCGCTTCACGATACGCTATTATGGAGGAAGTTCAACATGATCATGTTCACAATACTGTTCCTGATGTACATGTCTTTTATATAATAGAAGAGGTTGAACTTTTACATTATAAAAATTAAAATTACTGGATAATTGGCATGGCTTTTAAGTCTTCTGGATTAGCAACGTATATGTAGTATCACAGGTATCGCTTTATAACGGTATGTCCGTAGTACTTTGGTTTTTGAGTTAAATTGAAATTCATCTTGAGACTATATGCCTTATATATAGCCTTATATAATAATTAATGATATATGAGAGTTTACTCATTAAAATTAATTAAACATAAAAAATAAGGCTAATACATATAAAATATTAATTATAGTAAACGTGTACTAAACACGAAAGTTAAAAAATAACGACAGATGTATTAACTACGGTACTAAATCCGTTATTTTATACTAAATCCGTTATTATAATTATAACATTAAGTACAGATAAGAAGTCCTACATTTAGATATCCAACAAGCAATCGATAACAAAGTGTCGTGAAAAATATGAGGTACATTTCTATTTAATTTATTATAACTTTAAGAAAGCCTGTTTTAATAACTGGCTTTAAAAAAAATTCAATTGAAAGGGAAAAAATTAAAATTAGAATGTATAAATTTTACGTTCATAAGCGGCTAAAATGACCTACAATTTAAAATACAACAATTTAATAATTTAAAATGACCTACAATTTAAAATACAATTATTTAATAAAACAAAACAATTTAAAAAAAATGGATTTGTATTCAATTGTAGTCTGGTAGCTGAACAGTCAACTGTCAAGCATTTCAACTTATAGACTCTATTTATTGCCTGATGATGCCACGTTCAGAGGCAAACTCGTGTCACAATATGCGTTTAGATTCAATAACGGTCGGAATTTGATCATTAATGGGTTTTATCATTAAAGAACATAACACGTCCAGTATCGTCTCACACATGCTAATGGTAAAATTAAGCAAAATAATAACAAAGTAATAAATAAAATATAAGAATGAAAGAATCATAATATTAATATTAGCTTTACCTTTAGTGTTCATTTATAAATTATATATTACACTTATTATATGTAGTTAGAAATATTAGTAATTGTCGACGTTGTGGTAAACTATACACTTTTTTCGTACAATTCGCACAGCGCCGTCTAGTCTCAAGCTAAGCAGATACCTATTAAAACACAGTATAAACTATGTTTTGTAAATACATAAAAAATACTGGCCAATACGAAACTACATACCTACTCATGACTAGTAATTTTGGCATGACGGGAGGAATCGAACCCGCAACCATCGGAAGTAAGGCGGTATGCTACATCGCGAGACCACCGAGACTGTCGCATTTGATATATGCGTGTAATATTTATTTACGTTAATAAATAATAGACGGGTTGTATCATAACCTGTTATAATCTATTGTAACCCGCATGATGCTTGCGTGATCTCTTATCATCCATCAAGTTTCAAGGTATATAACACTGTCAGCAGTTAATATGGTTCGTAACGTATTAATATACACTATAATCGAAAATCGAATATATCTAATATGAACTAGATACTTCAGTGTATATTAGTATTTAACACTATTCTGTGTGCATTATTATTTCTATATTACTTCATGGACATTCAGCTTAATGCGTAAACTTTATGTCTTAAATCTTTTTATATCGTTATTAGGTACCTACTTATTAGTTTATTTTTTATTAATGAAAACACTGTACTATTAAATTCAAATAATCATATTCAAACATATAAAATCTATACATTATTTGTACTTGTATTTGTAAATCACACTGGTGATGAATAGATTTGTAGAAAGATTATACATATATTTATATCCCAATATTCATTCTACACGAAAATATATTTAATTACAATACGCTCCCATACTCCTAAAATGATGTGTGTAATAATATACATAACTAGCTGTCCCGGCAAACGTTGTTTTGCTTTAAAATAAAAAAAAAGTTTAGGGGTTGACTACCCCTAACATTTAGGGGGATGAAAAATAGATGTTGACCGATTCTCAGACCTACTCAATACGCTCACAAAATTTCATGAGAATCGGTCAAGCCGTTTCGGAGGAGTATGGGAACGAAATAAAAGAGATTATAACAATGTAAGGGAAAAATTAATACTCAGCCTCTTGATCAGCGTAGATAGTACGCTATATTATTCTTCGAACCATTCTAATGCTGTGGCCCCAGATGGCCTTTATAGTTTCACCGAAAGAAATATCAGAAAGTGTGGAGGGCACTGTAGACCCGCGATATTGCGTGACTTAATACGCGGATGGGCTAACTCCTGCCTGACAGATACCACTTTAGTCTTATGGCCTTGCTGGGGGTTCGAACATTGGCTTAAGCCCGTTGTAATTTCGATCCTCGTTGGAATAGGACAGGGAATTGACAGGAGGATGATGAGTGTTTCATATCGAAATCACGGGAGAAAAGTAATGTACCGAATACTGAAATCCTGTATAGAATACAATCTTTTAATTATCATAAAATGAAGAATAAATAAAACAAAGTATTAATTAATATTCCATATTTTGTAGCTGTACTGTGTTGTTCTATTGTTCACATAGTTGAATAAAACCAATAATTATTGTTTAGTGCTTATAATTTGTTCGCCTCCATTGTTTTACATGGCGAAAGAGTTAAGCTTCTATAGCCGTCAGAAGCAGCAACTTGACGCCCGTGGAATCACAAAGTTAGTTACTTACTGTGCGGCCTTTGCTAAAACAACAGACTGAATTCAAAATAGAGTAAATAATTGTTTTGATCTGTGAAAATGTGCAATATTAAGTTTCAAAATTTATATTACAAGGGTATTTTTTAATCATATACCTAACATTGAAAATTTAAGATGTATTTTAATTAACCCTACTATAATTTATGGTTTATGTAATAATTGGTAATGTTTAGTTTAAAAATAACTGAACGGATTTTGATGAAACTTTACAGTAATATAGATTATACATTATAATAACATATAGACTATATATTTCACGTGGGTGAAACCGCGGGCACAACTGATATATAATTTCTTATTATATATTAACTGTGCCCGCGGTTTCACCCATGTCAATGGCCACCCAGATAGAGATATAAATATTGTAAGTTTGAAATTTGATAGGGTTCTTGTGGGCTATACTTAAAAAAATATACACTATGTAAGAAAAAATAATGGTTGCAAAATTAGTATTACTTGTATAGATAGAGGAGGATATAAAAATTAATAGCAATATCTAGCGGTTTATTGGTTGTATTATCTCGAACATTATCTTTTTATACACTAATAAACTACTAGATAGACTCATAAATCATTTATAAACAAACACCTATGTTGAATTTATAAATATTATCTCAAATAAGAATTTCAACAGATTTTTGATCAACGTTACCCATTTATAGAACAATATAGAATAAGTAATAAAAAGTTCGACCCGATAAACACCAATATGGGACCCCTATTAGAGTAGCCCACAATAAATAATTCATTTAATATCGGCATTAAGCCAAAAACACATTTTATGTTACATTAATTCAGCCGTTGTCCGGTGTAGAACATAAATTAATGGCCAATACATTCCCAACGCTAATAAAATTAAATTTGGTAAAAAAATATTTTCTTGGCACATGTATGCATGCCTGTATTAAGCTAAAACTGAAGGTATTAGTTTTCGTATAAGGATACATTGAAGTAAGTAAAATTGACTTCTGCGATATAATACATAACCCAATAAAATATATAAAAGAATATAAGTACATTCTAATGCGATTAATGTGACAACAGTACTGGATGGTAGTAATTATTTGTAGGTTATGAGTAAACAGCTTTTTTTAGACTCGAATACCAGACAAGTGAAGTGGCAACCGTTGCCTAAATCATGAAGTACACCATAGATGTTACTTCATCATGTCACACCTTTTCGAAGAACTAGACGTAATATTTCATCTGTAACTTCACTCCCCTGTCTCATACTCCAGCTGAAACACAGTTAGCAGAAGATTTGCGGTTTACTGATGTGATGATGAATAGGAATCCACTTATACGAATTTGTATAAAATCTGCCTGAGTTTCTAATCAGTGTTTTTACTTTTGTATTTTCTTCTAAACTAGCAAAAAAAATAACGTATTACACGTTACGTCTAGTGGTTTATTACGTTCTGATTTCTTATTTATATAGAATACATTTAAAAAGTATATTGAATAGGATTTTGTATAGGGTTCTGTATAGTTTATATTGTAAGTTTCTTAATAAAATGAATTTATGAACAATATAAATTATTCTTTATAATGCATGAGTATAAAACAGTATTTGTATTACAAATGTGAGAGCCTGCTAAAAGCTCTCGAATTTTAAGAACTTAGTTTAGTTTGAACATGCATTTCTATATTGTACTCTGAGTGGGCATATTCGGTTACAACATATTCATTTGAAAAGGATGTTCATATTTGTGTTGTTAATTAAAAAGTAAGTAGGTTTTTAATTTAGTGTTATTCGTTTGCATAGTACTCGTAGCTCACTATAGTCACAGATAAATTAATATTACATAGTATAATTTGTTTTTTTAAATGTATTAAGTCTTTTTTGTGTTTATGCTTTAAAAACAAACATACAAATCTTGTATTGTAGTAATAGTACGAAATAAGGCATTCCTAAGAGAAATATTTTCTGATTATACATGTATTATAAAAATGAGGGTATCAGTTGATTTAAATATGGAATAATCTGAAAATATCTCTACCGGGTGCTAAGTATAGATTATTGATACATATGTAAATAGAACTATAATTATAATGACACTGTACCTGCAAGGTACCTTGAAAATTGTCGTAGTGATAATGTACCCCTATAATTATAGTATCTGTGCAAACACGAGTAATCATAGAAAATTAGAAAACAAAATAATTAGACGACTACAGTTGCAAGTATTTAAAGATGTAACTGAAAAGAAATTAACATAGACGTTCTTTGAACAAGTGAGGAGACATGTTGAAAATATTCTTACTCTGTGTAGTTATTTATGGGGCTACAAACGGTAACTATTTCTTGGATATTAATATTTTATTTTTAAAAATAAAAATACGGGAATAACTTCTAAAAAGAGAAAAATATAAACAAAAATATTATATTACTTAGTCTACTCTGTGTAAATTTTCTTCCAGAAGAAAAAAACAGATGCAAAGAACTTTACAAAGCTGCTACTTGCCAAACTACTTGCAATTGACATATATAAAACATGCCATTGTTATGTAAAACGTGATTTAATTACAGGTGTTTTAGCTAAACGACATGGAAGAAAGAATAAATGGAATAACGACGGGAAGATAGTAGGTGGTACAGAGACTAATATAACATCTTACCCATATCAAGTGTATGTGGAGGTATTAAGAGGAGTTCTGTCATATGCTTGTGGAGGCAGCATACTTAGTGAGAAATATGTGTTAACAGCCGCACATTGTCTAACAGGGTAGATTTTTTTATTATTTAATAGTAGTTTTATATTTATACATATTATAAAATAAAGTCCCCTGCCGCTTCTGTCTCTAAGTTCGTAATAATCTCAAAAACTCTACCTAACCAATCATTATGCTGTTCTCATCTAACAGCAGAGAGGCTTTTGAGAAAAGATTAGTTGTGTATTTCGTTAATATATATTAATATTAATAAATTAATTGAAATATTACTAATGTATAAATATATATTATAAACATAAATATAAATTATAACTATAAATGACCCACCTAATTGATTGTGGTTCTTGTATTGATGTAAATATTATAGACTTAATAGCTATGATAAACAAACGTAAAGATGATGTAAAGATGGACTGAATAAATGTAATTATCAAGTGTTGTTAAGATATTAATTTCTATGATTTTATTGAATTAGCATAAGCCTTAAAAGTAACATTTATAAAATGTATGTTTGCTTATTCTAGTGTCTCAAGAGTGCGAGTTAGAGCAGGTAGTACATCTGCAAGTAGTGGTGGCACCAGATATACTACGTTCTTGTACACCATACATCCCAATTATGACCCACTAACTAGTGACAATGATATTGGTATAATCAGAATGGTGAGAAGTATGACTTTGGATGGCGTTACCACAAGAGCCGTTGAATTGCCAGCAGCCGGCACGACTGTAGACGAAGGAAAGAATGTTGTTGTAACAGGATGGGGTGCTACTTCTGTAAGTATTTTCATTTATATTCAATATACTTATTAACGGTAATTTGGTTTTAAATGACCATTTATAGGTATATAGTCAAAACATACTTTATAAAATATATTTTTGACCCTCGAATCTCTCCTGCAAAAGTTCATTGAAATATTTTTAATTTCAGTTCATACGAGTATTTGCATGTTTAGTTTTAATGGTTTATTTTTTTATGGATGTTTACATTTATTCTTATTATTTGTACAGATGACATGGATTTAATGTGTTGTTCTTACAATTGTTGAGTATTAAGTTACTTTATTGATATAAACATATCGTAATATTTTAGGAGGGAGGTTCTAGCTCAGATACTTTGATGGTAGTGACAGTACCAGTGGTCTCTCTGCAGTCTTGTAACGAAACGTATTCAAACAGTATCACACCGCGTATGTTCTGTGCCGGATACGAAGAAGGAGGCAAGGATTCCTGTCAGGTAATTTATTATATTTTTTCTCTGCTATTTATTACTAATACTTGTCATTGATGTCTACGCTTTTATCTGAAAAGAAATTGCGATCATCAAACTTCAATTTATCCATTTATATTATATGTAAATAAATTAAATATCTACCGAATCAGTGTGTTTGATATATTCATATTTTTATTTCAATTGGTATTAGGTAGCGTGTTTATAATTATTTAAAAAAAACTGTTTGTTATCAAGGTTCCTAACAAGTGACTTTAATTATTCTATTATTTATTTTAACATGTGTATCCCAAAATCATTAATAATCTTTAATAATTTACACATGAATAGTTGGAAAAAATCGTATCGTGTAAATGTCATTAAAACTTACTAAAAACTTTAAATTAATATAATTGTATTTTATGAAAGCATTTTATAATTAAATTAATCTAGGGTGACTCCGGTGGTCCAGCTGTCGACGAAGCAACCGGTGAGCAATTAGGGGTGGTGTCATTTGGCACGGGCTGCGCTCGCCCCAACATTCCTGGCGTGTATACGAACGTCGTCGAATTCTTAGACTGGATAGATCAAAACACTCCTTAGACCACATTTAATTTTAATTCTGACTCAGGCTGAATAACTAGGCATCATGAGCTGACTCAATCTAAACAACTAGGAATTAAAAAAACTATTATTAATAGTGACAAATTAGGGATATGAAAAAATAATCATTTTTTTAGATCTCTAATTGTATTAGTTTTCAAAATTTTTATTTTAATATTCCAATTACTTAAACTGTAGATAGAAATAAAATGAAGTCGCTTCCACTGTCCGTCCATCAATATATTCTTTATATCCGGTTAAATGGCGTATTTCCTATATACAATTATGAATAAAAAACTAATATCGTATAAGCACTTTGTAGAAAATGAACAACGCCATCTAATGGCCAATATATAAAAGCAAATAGCTAAGAAATCCATTTGTAATAAACAATTAAAGGACTGAGATAATACAAGTGAAGTGACAATTATTTTATAGGCAAAAAATCTTTAACGTCTCTCGCAACAAAAATGCTACGAAATAATCGAAGAAAAAAAAAATGTATTACTTTATAATAAATCGTAGAATAAATATCCTTATTATTATTTATTTTTAATGCTTGTTTTCAAATAGATATCTTGTAACTTTTATTTATTATTGGTGTCGGTTGTTATTACTTTTACAATAATATTATAAATTAAAATTATTTGTTTGTTTTATTTAAGCAATTTATAGTTTATTAACACTAGCTTAGATTAAAATTTATTCATATATTATAAAATATAATAATAAGATATGGTATATTATTTTTATTGACGACTGTTATCCTAGAGGGGTAGTTATTCACGTGGTGGAGTACTAAACAATACGCCACAATACGAAGCTTACAACAAAAACAACACGAAATTGAATAATTGATGTGTCAAATATGCAAATGCAGATATCCATCGGCGAGAAGAGAGGGAACTTTTTTATAAATGACAAAACTCACAATGAATACTAACAGAATCCCTTAGCATTTAAATGAACGAGACCTACAAAGTTCTTGTGTAAGTGAAACTTTTTTAATTTCGTTGAAAAGTGCCAGGTGCTTCGTGTACGTCAGTATCAATTCGACAGACAATCCCTCCCTCACTGGGCTTTGTGATAAGGCGCTTCCCAAGTAGAAATGTAATCGTTGTTTTTAATTGAGATTGTGTTGATTTTTAAATTGTTGTTTTGCGTTCTTACTTTGAAGAAGTTGAATAACTTTTATTATTAGAAATTAGTTCTTTTGTTTACTGTATAAAATAAAAGAAAGAGGGAGTAAGAGCTTATGGAGTACTACCCCTTTCATAAGTTAATATAACCTATCATATTACTATTTCATGAAAAGTTAAATAAAGAAAAACTTAACTTAAGAAATATATATTTAGTCTACTGAAAATAATGCTAAAAATATTTTATGATTGCTTTATTTAATCAAAAGAATTTAATTCCGTATTGGAGTAATACTATCCTTTATTATTATCGATGTATTTATTTTGTAGTAGAATAATATCTTTGCCGGTATTAAAAGATCTAAATAAAAAACCTGTTGCTACATAATAGACAAATTTGAAACTATATTTTAATATATACTTGATTGAAGATAAGAAAAATAATTTGTCTGTATTACAATTATTTTTCTTATCAGGTCTAGTTAATAGAATAATAACTTTATTTAATACCAAATTAACATTCAAATTTTCTTAAACTACACCGTAATATTTATTACATAGATAATATTAATGCAACTCGTATTGGAATCTTTAAAAAAATGTTATTGGAATTGTTGAATTTCTGCTAGAAAGTGTTCAATTTTTTACCTACCAATTATATCCTTAATACAAGGCATTAATATTTGTATCATAAAGAAGATATAAATAAACTGAACTAAATTAATAGATTTTAATTGTACGCACTAATTATTAATCAATACAAAATAAATAAAAATGGATATACTAACATTATAGACAATAGACCACCAGTATCTATTAGGCCGTGCCTATATTATAGATAAGAGTTTTAATGACTTAGGCAAATAGCAGTGCTTTAATAACATAGTGTAGGCTCTGTTTAATTAGAGACTACAGGATGTTATGTCATTTGTACTAGGTGTTTATTATTATTAATTAAAAAGTTATACCGTACTGGATTCATAAATTAAATGTCACATATAAATGTTGAAGAATTTACTAAATATATAACTGTAATGGATCGGTGGACTGTATGTCTGGGTGTCTAAATGATGAAAACACATATAGAATATGATGTAAAATATATTTAAATACAATTGCAAACTATCCAAAAGGCAATATATAATAGAATAATACAATAAAGTGAAGTATATAAAAAAGAACACTTATAAAAGAAAAATATAAATTTAAAAATAATATAAATATCAAAGGAGTTCGGCGGTCGGTCGCCAAGTTGATGTACATGAGTTGAAAGTGAGAGCGGTAAGTAGTTTATTATTAGCCATGTTTCACAAATCGCACCAGTTTCAGCAGACTGGACGGATGAAAGGAAAAGATAAATGAAAATGTAATTAAGCACGAGGAAAACTTTTAAGAGAGCGTTAAAAAGTTTCTTTGCACTGGCAACATTATTTATTTCTTTCTCAATGTAATCTTGTTATTTGTTTGTTTCATATTATATTTTTGTAAATTAAACATCACAAATTACAAAGGCAATACCAAAGAGTAATTGTACTATTGATTAAACTAGGTAAAATAATACTTTTGGCAATTTATTTGTCAATATTATAGTAATAATTAAGTAGTAATAAATTGTAGTAATAATTTCTATGAAACATATTTCTTTTTTTAATTGATTCTAGATGAAACGTAATTGGTTTTTTAATAACTCTTAGTAATTTAATTATGTGATGTTTAATATAAAGATTAGTAATAATACTAAGAAATATAACCTATACCTATTTTTGAGGTTTGTAACCGAGTTAAATAACTATTACTAAAATATGATGAGCAAAAATATAGACATCACAAAGTATTTTAATAAATAGACAAATTTATTGAATATACATTGATATCGTAATTACCGATGCTCTCTCTCATCTTCTTTTACCGTTAATATGTTCTACGGTTGTTTTTAATAATATTATGAAATATTTCTAACCAACGTATCTATATTTTACAGTAGTACTACAATAACTACTACAGTACTACTTCATTTTATTGGTCTTTTGTTATAAAAATAATATTACTATTATTAATGATTGTCCGCTCCAGAAGCACTGGATATTGTTGCATTGTGGACCCAGTGCTTTTGCGTGGACACAGATATACGAATTAAGTGTATCTGTATATTATAAGTTACCAACATAGTTTTGTATGTTGTTTACTAACACAATATGGATGGATCCGAAATAAAATAAATAAATAAAATAAAATTAATAATAATATCACACAACGCCATCTAGTCTGAAGCTAAGTTGGACTTGTGTTATGGGTATTAGAGAACTGGTAGAAATCTTTTTTTTTTTGTAAATTAGTAAGTATACATTAAACATAGAAAACAACCAGACCAATACAAGCAAATTTGTACAGTGCGAAGAATCGAACCCGCGACCATCCAAAGTAAAACAGTGTGCTAAACCACTATACCACCGAGTCCGCATGATATGTTAGTCCGCATGACTAGTATAATACAAGAAAAATGAAATGCAAAAACGAATTAAATAAAAATAATCAGTCATTATTGTTATTAATTTATATTATATTTTGATTAAGACTTAAGTTAAATTTTATTTAACTGTTTTCGTTTTAGGTGAAAGGTAACGAAGAATTTTAATGGGAGCCTCTATTATTTTTATATTTTTTTGGAAACCGCGGCAGCCATGGTGACAGTTGTCTGTCAACATCGGTCGGGGACTTGATTAGGGTAAATACATATTGCGAATTTTCATCACGCGGTTTTCTTTCACGCTGATTGTAATCCGCGGATTGTTTATTATTTTCGTGGGATTTTTTTCTGTACGTTATACATTTTTATACTGTGAATAATTATGAGATCATGAAGTTATTTGATATAGCGTATATTTACGGTAAGTAAGTAAAGATGAACCCTAATGCAATTACTATGGAATGAACACTCACAGTCACCAAGTTAGGAAGTTATCTTCTAGCAAACAAAATCTGACATATTCTATTCCTCAAAAAAAGAAAAAAAATTAAGGAATTAATCTGGACCTAAATAATAATATACATAATGGATATAATAATAATAATAATAATTTATAAGTAACGGGTTCTAAAACATTGCAACGTTGTATAATAACGGAAGAAATTAATGGATCAACAAGAAAAAGGTGGAACTTACCAGCAAAATTACAGAATTCTAATAAAATGAAAGGTAAAGGAGAAAATAAAGTTTCTAGCTGTTGTTAACGACTTTCCCTTAGATAGTGTTTACATAATTGCATTTACGTAAAGTCAGTTATAGATAAGAATATCTTAATTTTTTTTTAACTAATCGTAATATTTAATATAATTTATCACGTTTTGTTATATTTTTTTATTTCCTGATACTGTACTGCTGAAACCGGCATGTTCATGATAACCAATGACTAAAATAGTTTACATACGTTATTAAAATCACGGACAATATTAGTGCAGTTGTAGTAGAGAAAAAATCGGCTCGAAGGCACATTAAGTGATATTGGTTCTGATTTCGCTAGACCCGAGGCGATCAAGGAAGCGATCCAGCTTCCTACGATTGTTCCAATATTACCTCTGATCTTAGTGTCATGTGTGAGATTCGACGCTGTTTCACTGAACGATACAAAATGGCTGTTTTATCTGGAATATTATAATATTATATTTTGCAAGCAGATTTTGTAATAATATTTAGTTTTATTAATCGAAGCCACTGAAATATAGTATACATGTGTGACATATATATTTCCAGAATATAGAAGCCATAGTTAGTATGTAAAAGCAAAATATGAAAAAAATGACTCCATTCTATATTCTATTAATACCAGGAGTTAAATTTCAAAAGCACGCATTTAATATATT